GCTGTACTGTATATTATACCATCAGCTATAGAGGACTACAAATCCCAGCAATACATTATACACTGCATGTATAATGTATTGCTGGGATGTGTTGTACTCCTATATAGCCGGTGGTATTCTGCATTGCGCTGTATAAGGGACTAAAAACCCCAGCAATAATACATTATACAGCGCAATGCGGAATTCCATCAGCTATAACGTACTTTTGCTGGGACTTGTAGTCCTCTATAGCTGGTGGTATTCTGCATTGTGCTGTATAATGTATTATTGCTGGGATTTGTAGTCCCCAATACAGCAAAATACCACCAGCTATAGAGGACTAAAAATCCCAGCAATAGTACATTATAGCTGGTGGAATTCCACATTGCGCTGTATAATGTATTGCTGGGATTTGTAGTCCTCTATAGCCGGTGCCATTCTGCATTGATTGCTGTATAATTTTACACTTTCCATTTCACTATATTGCACACCACACTTTTTTTTTCTTATTTCCACCGCTCCAAGCTTGCTCCTGTGATGAACTACAATCTCAATACAAACTAGTAGTCCATCACTGGAGCCTTTTGTTTTGTAGCAGAGAACCCGCACTGACCACCTGGTGTTCCGCATTGGCCTCTGAGAGCCTAATTAGGGAGCCCCCTCTGCTGCACACACATGCACCCGTGAAACTCTCTGGACCTCTGGTGAGAGCCCGCACAACCCTCCGGAGACCCTTTAGACATCAGACGGAGAACCCAGAGCAACAGAGTATGTAGCTTCATATTATTCTGCATTGCGCTGTGTAATGTATTGCTGGGATTTGTAGTCCTCTATAGCTGATGCAGTTCTGCATTGCTGTATAATGGTATTGCTGGGAATTGTAGTTCTCTATAGCGGTTGGTAGTCATTATTGCTGGGATTTATAGTCCGCTATAGCTGATGATATTCTGCATTGTTGTGTAATGTATTGCTGGGAATTGTAGTTCTCTATAGCCAATGCCATTCTGCAATGCTGTACAATTTCTGAGTTAGTGGCAGAACTACCAGGGTCGCAGCAGTCATAGACGCGCACAGCACTGACGAGGCATCCCTCCACTACCAGTGTGCTTTACATTTCCTAAACCGATAAATACATTCACACTACCGTTACATGGATGGCAAAAGTGTCAGACAGGGGCGGGGAGAAGGCAGGGAAGAGGTAGAGCGGGAGGGGGGCCAAGTTGCCGCACCATGGGCCTCTGGGTTGTACTTGCCCCCTGGGCTAAAAGTTGCCAGTCAGCCCCTGATAGAGCCCCTCTTATTTCCAGGCTGGAGGAAATCTAATAGCATCTATCCTTTTCCTCCTCAGCCTTACTGTCTCTGGCCCACTTTCACATTTATTAGATTTCAGTTCTTTTAAGTGCCCACTCTTCCAAATCCATCTATCAGGGCATTTGACATTTTCATAACTGCTCCCAAGACCCAGGCCATTGCTGGCATCAAGGTGGCGGGCTCAAGAGTGAAATACAGAGGCAGGGTACTATGATGTTTTCAGGTAGCTATGTACAGCACCCTGTTGGCCCTTCTCACCAGCCATAATCTGTCTGCATTTGATTAAGAAGCACAGAGACCATGTGATTAAGTGTAAAATAAGGTATGTAATGACAACAAGCATAGCATGTTGATGAGGGAGCAAAGAAGGAACCAAGGAAAGCAAAATACAAACAGACTAAACTTCAGCTTTGAAGTGTGTTGCAATAGGTTGCAAGTGTTGCTTGTTACTAAACCCCCTATGGAAATGTAAGGTTACATTTTTAAACCTTTGGACCAAAAACCTGGATACTTACATAAAGGAAGAGAGAGCGAGAGAGAGAGAGATAGCAGTGGTATATGTCCATATTAATACTGTGTGTATTTTATTCCTCAGAGAGACTCATGGGAGCAGACTGTTCCCGATTCAATTAACCAGCTGGATGCATTGTGCACAGATGCCTCACAAACTGTATCATCCACAAGCTGCATCTCATCTGAAAATGGATCCACACACTACAGGAGTGCAAGCAGAGGGCCCGCCTCATCCCAGGGCACTCAGTCTTATTCACTGCATGCTCTAGAAGATGTTCACTACTCTACTTTTCCAGCTACCTCTTCCTATGCCTTCTCACCATTTATGACAGTAAACAATGAATTGACCCCTAAGATGGTTCATCACCTTTCCCAAGAGGACTCTGCTGAAACAAGCCCCATGCAAGATAGTTCTGCTTGGCCAAAGGAAGATACGAACACAGTATGGGGGCCGTATGAAATTCGAAGAAATTACTGAAATCTCTGTTTTATTTTTAGTCATCAAGAATTTGTCATCATAATGCCTTTAGATTACATAGCAGGATGTAAACCTAGACTGTGGAAACAACAATAAGAGGACAATGCTGTTGCTATTAGTATTCGTACTTAAGAGGACCCACAAGAAAAAAGAAAGTAGATCCTGTCTTAAAACAATATCAATAACAGAGTATTGATTCCAGCTTTTCTCAGTAATGTACCACCATCACAGCCCAGTGTCTGAGCATTATCTTTATTATTAAAAACTATTACATGCACCTTCCATGTATACTGCTTCAACACCACACTAGCTGTTAAAACTCCTCATCTCACAGTTTCATGCAGGAACTTGTCCACAAATTTATATTGACGAACTATCAGAAGTTTGTTTTTTCCATATTGGCCACTGTAGTCCAGAGAAGCAGTCATTCAGTTTCAAAGGATAAGCCATATCATAGAATACATATCCTCCTTCTACTGTCTGCTGTTGGATGTCATCATCACTGTAATAAACTGATCTCCCAGTGGACAGAACACCACATAAATCCTTATTCTCATTGTGTGCCACTCATAGGAAGTATGAGCACCAGCACACATAAAAGTCTGAAACATTAGAAAGCATTCTGAGAGGGGTAACACTATTACACAATAAGGGTATGGATACTTGGTTTACCATATTTTTTAGCGGTGAGTATGGCATAAGTAACTTAAATGGACAATCTCAGTACACCAAACGTGGGGCGATGATCAGGACATTTCATTCAGCTTGCCAATGTGTTCAACAGGGCTGAATTTTATCACTAGAGCCTGTAGACGCACAACCATTGGCGCCCACTGCAGCCCTCCTCTGCTAGAATCACATCTTTTACGCAAAACATTTTAGTGTTTTACTGATTCTAACCAGACTTCATATTGTCATAGTGTTTAAATTAGTATATCAAAGATGGTAATATTTGTACTGGTGATAGAAAAAATATATATGCATGGAAAAGCCTCCCTTTTCTCTCTACTACCTATAGATACAGAACTACTCTTCCTAATGGTAAATCTGTCCCTGATGCTAAGGTACTATATTTATGTACATGTCAGAGGTACAAAGGATTTTGTGATCATCAGGCATCCTATTGGACAACATTTTTTTGTGACTTAGCATTTCTTTAAAAAAAATGTAAGCATCAGAACTCTTAAAATTATTAATTTAGGTGATCACAGGTACTTACATACAGATTCACAATCTGTGGTTTGTAAGTGTTATTTTGAGTAAAGACTGACCCGACCCAGATTTAAAAAAATAAACTTAGCTTTGTATGAAAATATACGACCTAAAATGCAAAGTTATTTTTTCCAGAACTCCATTCATGTGTTTACCATGTTTTGTTTTGTTTTTTCATGTTTTTTATATGCCTTCTTCAGCTTTAACGGTCTTTTTGGGTGAGATGTTTCCCTTTTAAACAGGAGAAACACTTTATTATAAGAATTTTTATCAGCCAACAAAATTAGGAAATGGTTCTATTAGCATGTTAATGAATAACATCAAGAATATAGCTTGATCTCTAACCTCTTTTTTTCTTGCTAGAGATTTCTATTATTTTGGGAAAATCCCTATGGAATTCTGTTCATGAAATCCCACTTCTTTAACTATCATTATCCAGTCCGAATACAGGAAAATATGTTGGCTTACCTAGGCTATCTATTCCACGTACAGAAGTATATTAACATTGGACTAAAATGACAAAGTTTACCCTTCATAAAATATTTTTTTTAGTTTTTTTATGTTATCAAAGCCTAAAAAAAGTTAACTTTTTTAATATTGGAAAAATAAATTGTAAAATAACCTGAAATTGTGCTTTAACATTGTTGTAAAGCAGTGGCATCACAAAGGGGGTGCCGGGGGTGTGGCCCTGCACCCGGGTGACACCTTTTGAGGGGGTGACACCAAAATGACTAGCAGTCATTTCGGTGTCACCCCCTCTGAAATGTTGGGCACTTGGTCATGGACTGAGAGCCTGACAGTTGCAGGAGAGAGGAGGGGACCTGGTTGCATACCTTATCCCGCCGGGTGAATGTACCCTCCTCTCCCTGCTGGTGCCTATCACCAAGATGACGGCTGGCAGGTATCACCAAAATGACCGCGCACGCTCGATAACGCCATCGCGCACGCAAGTGGTGACGTCATGTACATGCGTTATGCCGTCATGACGGGGTGTCACCCAGTACCCGCTCCGGATGGCACCCATCCTCGGGCTGCCCCTTTTGCAAATTACGTATTTCTAAAAAAAAGTTGTACTCTTGGGTGGGATGTTTTACATTTTCCATTCAAACAGGAGAAACACTGGATTTTCAGAATTTTTAACAGTCAACAAAATTAGGAAATGGTTGTTTTAGCATGTTAACGAATAACATCAGCAAAGAACACAGCTTGATCTGCAACCTCTTTTCTTCTTATTAGAGAATTTTAATATTATGGGAAAATCTCTCTGGAATTCTGGTCATAAAATCCTGTTCCTTTAACTATCATGTTCAAGACCTAAAAGAGGAAAATATGTTGGCTTTCTATTTCAAGTACAGAAGTATATTGACATTGGACTAAAATGACAAAGTTTACCCTTCATAAAGTAAATTTTTTAGATTATTTCATGTTATCGAAGTTCCCTTTTTTTTTATAATATTGGAAAAATAATTTGTAAATTAACCTGTGCTTTAAAATTGTTGTAAAGTACTTTTTTTTGTACTTTGACATAGCTTACACAATAAAATAAAATTAATCAACATTGTGCATGTTGACATTTTGTAAATAATATATGCATTCATGAACATAGTTCAAATGAAAAAAATATATAATTTGCTATTATATATATACAGAATATGCTATAGGGAAATTTCCATGAAAAGTGAACAGCCTGTTTTAAATCAACCCCAAGGCCTCTTGGTTTTTTTGTACAGAAGCTGTTAATAAAAAGTATAGTAATTACTTAGCTTACTATTACATAGTCACAAAAGTATGTACGGTATTTCTTATTAATACCCAAAAAGCAATTAAAGACTTATACAGCGACCTGTACTCTAAATGTGGCATTCACAGAATAGTATATAATCTTGCACACATTTCAACTCTATAATGGCAAACACATTCTGTAACGAAAGATTATTCTTAACATATTTATGCTTCAGAATAATTTTCTGTTCTGATCTTTCAAAAATAGGTCCATTCTAAATTTTGGTCAAAAGGTCAAGTCCTTAGCAATTTAAAAAATCTCATATTTTTTTATAAAACATATAAGGAACGGTTTATTACTTTCAAATCCTCAATATACTTCATGTGGTTTTAATCAAGCATTGACTTGGCAGTTGACTTGGCATTCTCCTTAAAGAGGGGGTGCTATTAGAAATGGACTCCTCAAACTAATCACTTGTGTTTCTTTCTTTCCTTTTTCTCCAATCCAATTTGTTTCTATTTCGTTTCACCCATTGGTATGCTCTAAACCAATGTACTGTATTTCTACTTATATTCTATCATTGGCATGTCTTACCATTACTAAAGGATGTTTTGTCTCTTTTGGCATTGTTGATCTTTGGTTTCTATCAATTATAATCCTCAGCATGTGTGATGAGATTTTATTAAGTTATTTAAACAATTCAGATTGTTTCCAAACTCCAATATTCACCTACAATTCCTGTAATTGTGCATTAATGTTTCTTAATACAGTATCATATTATTCACATAGTAGTAGCTTCATATTCTGCTACAAATGTTAAAGCTCTTCTCCAATCTTTGTTAGAATTCAGGTGAAACTACTCTGATGTTAGAAAACACTTAAATACACAAATATTGTTATCTGTATATTTTTCCAGATATAATTTACTCCAACAAATCCATGACTTGAATCATATAATTTTCTGATCTAGAAATTGATCCTTAACTTCTAATTTAACTGCAGTCCGCAGCCTGCTTCTGCTGTATCTTAGAAACTAAAAATTCCCATTTTAATATAATGGGAGAAAGAAGGAAAACAAACAAAAGCACACACACCAACCACTTCAGACTGGACAGCACTGTGAATATTTAAATATTAAAAGACTGAACTTGTTCTGACTTACCAATTTTAGTGACACCCAAATGTTGACACTAGGCCTTTTTTACCTTGGATAAAGTATAGAAATACACATTAGTATTTTGTGGCCCCAGTTCTAGTGTAAAAAGGAAAAAATGTGTATGTCATTATAAAGTTGAAACTTGTGAAACTCTATATACTGTTTTGTGATTACTACATATTGGGCACAGGGCACTATACAAACCTTTAAGTGGTTTTAACTTTTCTGCCTTTTGGGTAATGTTATGTCTCACATAAATATACAGTATATTGTATTGTTGTTGCAATGTATTGCATTGCTTTAATATGCTGTATCTACTGATACCAGGTGGCGAGTGTGCTGCAACAGCAACCTGTTTATTTTGTGTCCTTGGCATGCTCCCTGTTTCTCCTCTTATTCTGTGCTAGTTAATACAGTCCCTAGCTAGACACTTCCTGCTCTCTTATGCTTGACCATTTTAGTTTTACATCCTATCATAGAGACAGGGCTTAACAAAGCCATTGTCTTCTTACACTTCAATTAACTCTTCTACATACTCTGCTCTATCTGCTCAAGATTTACTTGTGCCTTAGAGAGTGCATGGTGGCCTCTGTCTGCATTTGCTGTGAGCACATGCTGCATTTCAAAAAGGGGGGGGGGGGTTGAGAAGCGTCAACAACCTGGCGTGGATCAGCAGGGAAGTGTATTCGGATGCAAGTTCTTAAATTTGTACCCACATCTGGGTGTGTTGGCTGAGGCTTCAAATTAAAGTTTTCAGAAATGTGGTGCTGTGAGGTGGAGTGTCAGCACTTCCAATCAGAACTCTGTGGTGTCAGCGTGTTTACAAAAATGAATGAATAGGTGGGTGAGTATTAATGGGTGAGGTTTGCTGGCAGTTGTAAATACATAGATTTACCATTCAGTAAGTAA